ACGTACATGTTTAAACACATTCACCATTTTGGTCTTCACAGCGTCCAAGACGGCCCAGCTGCTCCCTGAAGATCGCCCCAAGACAGCCACATGGGCCCCCAATGAGGCATCGAAGCTACCGAAGAGAGGCTGAAGACCATTGTGGGTCACCACTTCACTGGAGCTGTCTGCGATCGATGTTAGTGGTGATTAAGAGATGTGTGTGTGTGTGTGCGACGAGGGGCATGGCGTTCTGCGTCCTTCCGATGGCTAGGCCTGGTGGGTGGCGCCCTGGACCACACGGGGATCCAACACTGACGCCACCACCAGGCGTAGCTCCCGAAACTGAAAAAGTCGAGGCCCCTAACCCTGGGTGCCTCCTCGAAGATGGCGATCTTGAGTCGCCCTCCTGGGAGGAAAGAGGAGAAGCAGGTTTTCCATAACCTTTCAGGTCTTTCAGAGTATCTGCGCACGGCTCGCATCGGAAAGAGGGAGAACGCAGGGTACGGAGCAGACAGGGACGCCAGGGTTCGGTGAGGGCCCCCGGACGCCCTGCATATATGCTGGCATACGGGGGGGCGGCCAGGGGGGCGGCCGGGACACCCTGCCAGATTTCCCCCACGCCATGTTTGACCCCTCCCAGGGCCTGCCGGAGGCCACCAAACAGCGACCAGGGCTGAAGACGCCCGAATCTTGTTTCAAAGCGGTTCGAGAGGTCACGAAAACGTCGAAGGCTTCAAGATGGACCTCGAGAGGGCTTCGGGAGGCCAGAATTGTTTCGGACGGTAGATGTTTTTGCATATTCGCATTTTGGGTTTCAACAGGGTCGACAACGGCCCAAGAGGCCCCAGAGATCGCCTCAAGACGGCCCAAGAGGCCTCCACGAGAGCCCCAGGACGGCCCAAGCGAGCCCCATGACGGCCCAAGAGGCGCCCAAGACGGCCCAATAGGGCCCCAAGAGGAGTCCAAGAGGGCTCCAATAGGAGAGTCAGGAGCCTTCCATTACGGGTCGGCTCCCGAGGCCGCAGCAGGCACCCAAGAGGGCCCCAGGGACCACAAAAGATACCCCGAGAGGCCCCCACATGAGGCCACAAGAATCTTCAACATTCGCTCCACGAGGCGCCCGAGAAGCATGCCGCATGCCAAGAGACCCGGAATTATGGGTATCCGAGGATCCTCTGGCCCAAACTCAGGTACAGTGGCCGTATGGACCGAAGGCCATAGATAAGCAAGTAATTGGTACATTGTGCGTCGCGGGGCAATCCGGCAAGATGGCTGCTGCGGAGCACGCGTGCACGGGTATATTGAATTCTTGGCTTTTGGGGGGCACGATCCGCGGGAAGGGTGTGCCGAGTAATTCGGATACCCTCGCGCGAGTGCCCCCACTGAGGCCACAGATGGACCTCCTCCAGGCACGACCTGTGCGAGGCATGTTCCGAAATGGCCAGGGGTACGCCATGCGAAGCTGCCAAATTGGTGCCATAGGTGGAGCTCCCTCTGGGGCATGGTTCGTGTGACGGATTTGCCGACATGGGCGGGGGAGCGCTGAACAAACCTTGTCTCTGGGCCTTCAGGCGGCGCTCTTTGTGGGCACGATCCGCGTGATGGGGTGTGCGGCAATGGCCAGGGGGAGCGCAGTGCGAACCTTGCCTTTGGGGCCGTAGGTGAAGATCGCTCTGGGCCACGATCCGTCTGCGAGGTGTGCTGAAGTAGACGAGAGGGCGGGATGCGAACCTTGGGTCCAGGGCCGTCCGTGGAACCCTTCGCGGGCCACGGTCCGTGTGAGAGGTGTGCCGAAGTGAGCGGAGCGGCGCTCTGAAGCTTCACTCTGGTGCCACAAATGCAGCAATCTGCGAGGCACGATCCGCGCGATGGGGCGTAACACTATGCGAGCCTTGGCACCGGGGGGGTAGGTGCAGCTCCCTATGGGGAGCGATCCATGTGAGGGGTGTACCGACAAGGACGGGGGCACGCTAGGCAAGCCTGTCTTTGGGGCCGCAGGTGGAGCTCCCTGAGGGCACGAGCCGTGCGACAATGTGTTCCAGTACCTCACACTTCAGACTACAACTAGAGCTTGCTACAACCTGAGCGCGCGCGAAGCGCGCGCGTGGTTCTTTGCGTGTATATATATATATATATATATATATATATATATATATATATACATATATATGGTGTGTGACGTGGCGTGGGGACAGAGAGAGGTAGAGAGAGAGAGAGAGATAGATACAGAGAGGCAGGAGTCCAATGATTAGATAATGTACCTGCCTGCGCCGAGACGCAAGATGTGTAACGCACAGGTTCAAGGCACAAGAGTGAGCAATGGAGAACTAGCAGGCCCCACGTGAATTTACAGAGTGACCTTTGTTGCAATGACACCTCGGCGATGGGCAGCTGATTATAAGCTGCAAAGGAATTGCGCTCGAGAAGAATCCTGGACCGACTCGCACCGTCATCAAGGTAGGCGGGATTTGGCTTGCAACAAATTTGCACACAGGGAAGCGGTCGACGCCAGCATGGTCAGCACTTCCTTTTGTTGCATATCTTGGAGAGACTATTCCAGATAACGCTAGACACATCGAACAACTGAACGTACTTTTCAACATCGTGCTATGATATTGAATCAGGTGGTTGATTGCCTATGCATGTTTCGAAACACAATCACATCTCATCAGTCAGCGCCAGCAAAGAATCGATGGCGTGCTGGACAAGAGTTATTCGTCTCATAGAAGGTCGCACTGAAACGATGCACAATCGCTCAGTAGCAAAGTTGGCCTTCTTCCAGGCAAGATGGATCGGATCGAAACGTGGATTTCCCTTATCAAATCGTTCAAGCACTGGACAGGAACATTCTAAGACAGAAGGCGGGGGAAGCGAGAGTGATGACAGCAACGTTGTTAATGGCAGTCTTTGTGTGGCTCATTCGGGGCCCCTGGATGCGAATATTGTGCTGGCCTCTGGCCAGTGCCGCCGATCCTGGGCGCTCTGGATGATGATGATGATGATGATGATGATGATGATGATGATGATGATGATGATGATGATGGTGATGGTGATGGTGATGGTGATGGTGATGGTGATGGTGATGGTGATGTGGATGTTGTTGATGATGATTCGGATAATGTTTATCAGGGTGATGGACATGGTGAAGAGCATGAATATGGTGATGACGACCACGAGAATGAGGATTGCGATGATGATGGTGGTGATTGTGGTTGTGATGACGATAGCGGTGTGCCCACAATGATGCTGATAATCATGATGATGATGGTATTGATGTTGATGATGTGAATTCTCAGGGGGGAGGTGATGCAGTTGGTCAGGACGGCGATGGTGATGGTGATGATGATGTTGCTGCTGATGATGATGGTGTTGATGATGATGTTGTTGATGATGATGTTGTTGTTGCTGATGGTGGTGATGCTATGATGATGCTGCTGATGATGATGATGATGATGATGACGACGTTGACAATGGTGATGGTGGTGGGGATGTTGGTGACGACGGTTATGATGAAGATGATGAGAAGAAGAGGTTGGCCATCACATGCTGCGTTTTCCGTCTCCACATCTTGTGGAGCTAATACGGGGCCGTCCTGGGGCTGTTTCTGGATTTTGTGAGGAAGGAGGAAGAAAATGGAGGAGGGAGGACGAGGGAGGAGAGAGGAAGGAGGAGGCAAGAGGTAGGGGGGAGGAGGGAGGAGGGAGGAGGGAGAAAGGAGGAGGGGAGGGAAGGAGGGACGGAGGGATGAAGGAGGAGGGAGAGGTGAAGGAGGAGGAGGACGAGGAGCAGAGAGGAAGGAGCATGAGGAGGAGGAGGAGGAGGAGGAGGAGGAGGAGGAGGAGGAGGAGGAGGAGGAGCAAGTGGAGAGCGCCCTCTTTGGCCGTTTTGGGGTCGTCTTAGGAGCCTCTTGAGCCGTCTTGACGCGGTCTCGGGGGCCTCTGGGACAGTCGGAAGCGAAGCCCCCCCGCCCCCGAGCACTGCATGGCGCCGGGAATAGCGTTCCCCCCCCCTTTGCAGAGCGAGCCCTCACTCCCGGCTCCCGAGCACTGAATGGCGTCGGGAATGGCGTCCCCCGGCCCCCCCCCGTGCCAAGCGAACCCCCCCAGCTCCCGAGCACTCGTCCCCCCCCCTTGCAGAGCGAACCCTCGCCCCCCCCTCCGGCTCCCGAGCACTGAGTGGCGTTGGGAATGGCGTCCCCCCCCCCCTTGCAGAGCGACCCCCCCCGCTCCCGAGCACTGAATGGCGTCGGGAATGGCGTCCCCCCCCCCCCCCCCAGCAGAGCGACCCCCCCCGCTCCCGAGCACTCGTCCCCCCCCCCCTTGCAGAGAGCGAACCCTCCCCCCAGCTCCCGAGCACTGACTGGCGTCGGGAATGGCGTCCTTCCCCCCCTCCCCTTGCAGAACGAAGCTTGAGCGAGCTCAAGTCCACGCTCTCAGAAACTCACACGCCGGATCGGCGATCTGGTGAGAGCAGCAGCGAGCAATCAATGGAATCAGATACGGATTCGACAATCAATGGGACGATTTGTATCATACCATTTCAATGAGGTTGTTTGTATTCTTGGGCTCAGAATAATCAATCTTACTTGCGGTAGGATCGAAAAGCATTTGCAATCTACTGTCGATCTGCCCGCAATGTCCGAAAGCACGCTTATCGAGAGACGAGTTTGAAAAACATGATGGCAGCATGCATCGGACTCATATGTCGCAGAGGGCGTGCAGTATGTTTCATGGTGGCACGGGCGGCCCACTGAGCAAGCCGCATACATAGTGTTTTAATGAAGGGGGTACTCCTGGAGCCTGGGCCGTGTCACGTCTGCAGTTGCCCAAGCGATACAATCGCCGAATCTTGCTGCACTTAGCAACCATTCAGTGCAGCAAGTTGCTCCCGTCTCTTGGTGCGAGGCTCTCGGTGGTGAGCCTCGAAAATACGGAAATTAGGGAAATTCGAAATATGTGCTTGACTCGTAAACATACGGCTCAAGTTTTTTCAGGGTCTTATGCCCTTCCAGGATGCCCGACACATCCTCCTCGCCGCGTTCACGGGCGCCTGGCTCTCCCCATCGCGGCTGCGGCTGTGGACAGGTTCTCCGCGCTCGGCGAAGAGTCCTTGCGTCATGCCGGCGCCGCCAGTGCTCTACAACCTGACCTGTCCAGCGTCCTGTCCCGACTTCACGGAGGTGCTGGACGAATTCCGAGGTCTCAAGGAGACAGTGGATGACGCGAACCAGAGTCCGCATGCGCAGCCGCTCGCGGAGTCAGGAGTGCCGCGATATCTTGATATGCTCGCCGTTTTCGTCGGGAGTGTCGCTTTCTACTTGGACGTCTTGCTGGGGTTCCTTTTCTCGCGCGTAGGCTGCTGTCGAGATGGCTGCCGGCGCTGGTGCTAGACCGGCGCTGCAGGTAGAGTTGAATTTCCTGTTCTACGTGGACCAGCTTGACCTTTGGCACGTGGTGGTGATCCTGAGGAACTGCTCGACCGCGAGTTACAAAGCAGCGCGCGGGGAGGACCCTCCAGCCAACCATCGGTTTTGGTGTATGCTGACAGCGGACGGCGACGTGCAATTATCCCCATGATCTCTCCGTGTTGGGGGATATCCAGGCGCTACGAGCGCTTGACTATGAGGGGAACGTCGGCCAGTTCAACGGGCGCGGACCTGATCCAGGGGTTCGATTGGCATGCCTTCCGAGCTGGTCGTGGCGACGGGCCGCTTGATTTGTCGCAATATGTTCCTGTTCGTGCCGATGCTGACGGTGAGGAGCGCAAGGATGGTGGGGATGGAGGCGCACTTCCAGGTGAGGGGGGGCCGCGTAAGGCTGCTGACGGGACGATCCGAAGGATTGCTTACTCTTCGGACAATGCCTTCGCTCGTGGCTCAGAGTGCCGACGTGATGCTGGATATCCCTTCGCGCTCGTGAAGGGCGGTGGTTCGACTACGATCACGGTGGAGACGCCGACTGGAGCGGTGCAGTGCTATGCCGCCGTGGCCGAGTCCGTGGACGAGGACGCCGACGCCCGCGCGCTGCCGGCGGCCTGGAGGGGCAACTCCCGTCGTCGCCGCTTCGTGGAGGCGGTGGACTTGATTATGTTGCATGACAAAAGCGACTCCCCGCTGCAGGACGAAGCTTCGATCTTCTGGTACCTGGAGGTGGTCGCCCGCAGCGGGGAGGGCGGCCAGGTCCAGCGCCACTACAAAAAGAGGAGCAGCTCGACGGTGGAGCAGATTCGGCAATCGATTCAGCCATGGGGTCAGGAGATGGGGTAATTGTTGCGGCATCGCCCCCGCAGTGGTTTAAAGATTTTGATGCCCGTCTGTCGAAGCAAATCGAAGGCATCACGACTGACCTGAACGGAATGAAAGACATGATTCACGAGGCGAGGATCGAGGCGCAGGACGCACGAAGGGCAGCAGAGGAGGTTCAGGAGAAGATGGAGGATGTGGAGATGGACGTGGAAGGGTATCAGGAACGATCTTGAGGAAATGTATTTGACCAAAAAGGACGTCGAGGACATCATTGAAAACAAGTTCAAAGAACAAGTAAACGAAAGCATGAAAGTACAGGCATCTTGGGGTAACTCAAAACATGCAGGAAATAACAACGACGACCAACAAGAACGATCCTACCAAGTACTTGCGCTGGGCTTCGCTGAGCGCCGGGATGCGGAGGACATCATCCAGGATATCAAACGTATGCTCAAAGATCTACTTGGGGAGGGCTCTGGAGTAAAGGTTGAGACCCCGACGAACCCATCCAAAAAGGGTATCATAACATTCCGGAGCAGGAAGGACAAGGCCAACTTTTACAAGAAGGTGCAGGACCCCCCCAAAAAACATACTATCGGAGACAAGTTTTTCAAAAACAATTCGACGATGGAGGAGCGGGAGAAAGAAACATCTATGGGATACACTAAGCACCACCTCATCCACAACCCTGGCTCCAAGTACAAGAAGGAGGAGGTGGAAATCTGGTGGGACAGCTATTTGGTTGCAGTGAGAGGGGGAGAAAAGTGGCACGGTTCAATGGGAATGGGGCGTGGCAGACTACGTCGGTGGGGAAATCTGTTGAACAAGAAGTCGAAGCATCCATGGCAAAGTGGAGGGCAAAAGTCAACCCCGACCCAGCAACAGACAGCGAGTGACATATTGGCGGCGCTCCGAGGGGACCGCAAACTCTGACACCCAGCAGCGTTTCACTTACGAATTTGATTGGTTATGCTTTGCCGCCAGCTCCCCGCAGGGGTGGAGGTAGAGGAAAATATGATAATGTCGATGGGGATTTTCCGGTTCAGGCGCTTGGTTTTCGAGCAACTCCCAGAGGAAACAACCTTCTCCGACCCCCAGGAGCTACTATAACAATGTCTTCTTCGATTACTTCTCGACCAACTCCTGCCTCACCGACTCCGGCAAGCGAGCGCCGCAACATCGACGTCATCTCATTCAATGTCAGAGGCCTTACCCGTGACGATCGCATTGGGGAGTTGATGGCAGAAGTTAAGTCCATGAAGTGGGATGTCATGTTGCTTACGGAGACGCGGAGGGGGCAAACATCATAACTTATTACGATTGACGGGGGCCGCGTATTTGGAGGATCAGCCGGAGCACCAGATGGAAGAAAAGGCGTCGCTATTATACTTCACAAATCATGTAAGCTAACGGATTTCGTACCGGTCAGTGAAAGAATAGCATATGCTGATTTCAAGTGCGTTTCACGCGATTTTCGAGTTGTGGCTACTTCTTTTCCTGACAGCACATACAAGGATGCAGAGGCGCAGAAGATGCACGCAGCACTTTCGGAAATACAGCGGGAAAACAAGACAATATGTATTTTTATGATCGGTGGGGATTTCAATGCTCAGGTGGGAAGCCGGCTTGCGGACGACGACGGAAGCGCAATCGGGTATCGCGGATTCGGCGCGGAAGCTTGGCGTGGACAGCAGTTGAAGCAATGGCGCGGGCAGTGCGACCTCAGCATCGCGAACGCTTTCTTCTCTAAGCCCCCGCTCAAGAGAATCGCGCATTATTTGAATAACGGACAGCCGCGGCAGATCGATCTCATACTCGTCGGAAAGAACATGCGCAGGTACGTGACCAATTGTGGCTCCAACGAATTGCCGGACCTAGGATCAGACCACAAACCAGCACAAGCGACGTTGAGCTTACCCTTGAGGACAATACGCAAAAGAAAGAGGAACCGTCAGAGACACAGCCGGGCAGCTTTATGCTACAAATATGGGTTTGCACGACATGCCACCGAACATGTTGAAAAGGTTTTTGGGATAACGGAGTGCACGACCATTGACGACTACAACGCTCAGGTTGAATCTGCTTTGATGCACGCCCAGGGGGCCTTCGCAGAAGAATCGAGCACTTCGACACCACAGGTGCCCGATGAGGGCACCAGGCTTCAGCATCTGATACAGGAAGGACGAGAGACGCCACACAGCAATAGCAGCAAGCGGGCACAGCTCAGCAAGCATATTCGCACCGAAGTGAAGGCTATCAAAGATAAGACTCGCAATCGACACAGCAAACACATCTTGAGCATGTTTACGGGGCTGAAAGATATCAAGACGACAAAGACGAGGAGGAGGCGAATTATGATTGTCAAGGTGGTCGACTCAAAGGGGATGGATAACACAGGCCGCAAAGACATAGCTAATGCATTTTCGGATTTTTACGCGGATCTCTATGCAACGGCACACGGGCAGTCATAACAATCTGAACATACTACATTCACAGCTGAATCTACACCGCCGTTCACCTACGATGAACTCGAAGAGGCTCTGGCGCACCTTAAAACAGGCAAGGCGCCAGATGCAATGGGGATTGTGGCAGAAATGCTGAAATTTGGAGGCGAAGCAGTGCGACATGCTGTGCTGGACATGCACAATGCTATCATCAAGTCCGGGGTTCCGACTCCAACGCAGTGGAAACACGCAGTCAGGAAAGTATTGTTCAAAGACGGGGGCCCCACGCGGCCATCCAACTATAGACCGATTTGTACACTACCGGCTCTATACAAATTGTTTGCTCGTCTTCTATACCAAAGGTTGGACATGTACCTGGGGCCTGAGCAATCGTGCGACCATGCTGGATTCAGAAAAGGGTTTTCAACCATCGATCATATATTCACTATGTCATGTATTCAGGAGAAGGCCGACGAATTTCAACAAACAGTATGGTATTGCGCACTGGACTTCAAGATGGCGTTCGATACGGCTGAACAGGGTTCTCTGTGGGAAACGCTCCGTGGCCAGGGTGTTCCGGAACCGTGTATTGAGCTGCTTCGCTCTCTGTGTGCGGATCAACGTCGGCGCGCGCGGACAGACGTGCTCAGCGACGAGTTCAATATACAACGTGGGACAAAGCAGGGCGATCCCTTATCTTCTTTGTTATTCAACGCTTTACTTGAACACTGTCTCCAGCCATGCAAAAAAGTGGTATAGAAAACGCAACGGCTTACGATTGGACCCGCTGAACAGCAAAATGCTCACAAATTTGCGTTTCGCAGATGACGCGCTCGCCGCGGCACCCACATTGCACCAAATCAAGCAGATGCTGTCCGACATCCAGAGATATACCGCCGACGTGGGCTTATCTTTACACCCTGGCAAGACAAAGATATTCACAAATGCGAGCAGGAAGTCCGGGAGACAAGCGGCGGGCTCGGTGCGCGTAAATGGTTTGGAAATCGAGATTATTCCAAGGACATCAACTACCAAATATTTAGGGCGTCTCGTATCTTGCGACAAGCCTTTTGAATGTGAACTCAACAACAGAATCCGCAAAGCATGGGCAGCATATGGTTTACATAAGCAAGAACTGACCAGCCGATCATATCCTCTCAAGGATCGTATCCGGCTGCTTGACAGCACGGTGGCACCAGCGCTACTGTATGGAAGCGAAGTGTGGCCTATGACATGCGACGTGGAGCACCAAACTACATGTGTGCAACGGAGGATGCTCAGGCATATGTTGGGAGCAAAGCGAAAAACAATTCAAACGGAAGGCGTGGAGAACGCTGATGTTGATTGTGCCGACGTGGACAGCAGCCCAGAGCTGGAGCAGGACTATACATCATCGGGCGCTTCGGAAAGCACGCGTCTGGAGCCTCGGGCCGATTTCATTCGAAGAGCGACGAGGGCTACAGAGGAACACCTGCAGACAGCACGTATGGAGCCATGGGTGCACCAGCAGAGACGACGCACATGGCGATGGGCTTTTCGAGTGGCAAACATGGATACGGACCGCTGGGCTTCGCAAGCGATGCACTGGGACCCGGCGTTGACTTCTATATCTGCGCGTCGTGCGACCGGCAGACCGAAGAGACGCTGGGATGACGACGTCCGCGAGTACATCTACACGCAAGGTATTTACACTTCGCGGCAAATCTATGCATTATCACACGAGGCGCGGAATGAGTTAGAGGATGGGTTTGCGACGAGGTAGTTTCTGAGCCTGGCGTATTTTTATTAAGTTTTCCCACATCTGTCAATGCAGCGACAACCCAGTAGTCTCTCCCAGTGCGGGGGACCGTGTGTCCCATGCGCCTGCCCTCTTAGAGGACCGCCCCCAAGGGGCTGGAGTGCGGGCCTGTCTGTCTGTCTGTCTGTCCACCAGCTGAACTGCGGAGGTGACCGCTCGTTGCAAGAGCATTTCTGCATCATGGAGGTTCTCGAGACGGCAGCTGAGGTCGACCAGCTCAACATCCCCGCGCTGGTCCCACCGGGGGCCCTCGGGCGCAGGGCCATTCTGATCGAGCGGGCGCGCGCGAACTCTCCCGGTGGCCCCGACCACGCAGGAACAGATGATTGCGCGGGGTGGGGGCTGGGCAGTGGCAGGGCGCTGGTCGCGCCGAGCCCTCGTTAAGCAGGTGGCCGACTGGGCTCGAGACGAGGCGTCGGCGCATTAGGAGCTGCGCAAGCGCAACGAGGCGTTGAGGTTGAGGAAGACGCCTGAGGGCCCAAGAAGATGGCCAGGGTGGCTGCCAGAAGGAGGGGCCGAGGTCCAGGGCGCTCCCAGCCAGCCAGCTGGGCTTCCTCTCCGGCGTCGTGGCCGAAGACCGCGAATGTTCCGCGAGAGCTTCTTCCTCTTCCGTGCGTTCCTCAGGGGCCTCGCGCTGGCAGTCGCCTTTCTCGCGGCGTCCGACGGCGGACCCAGACCCGTCGGCGCGTCGCTGACGAGGTGAACGAGAGCATCTGGGCCCTCGATTGGCCGGCGGGCCCCCTCGCGCCCGGCGCGAAGTTTTCGACTGCTGGGCAACGCGCCGCCGCGGGCCACCTGCATGACTTCGTCGCCTCGTTCCAGCCGCCGCCCGAGGCGGCTTCCGACGAGGAGGCGGCGCGCGCGCCTCTCGGGAGCAGCTTTCCCCGCGGCGGGGGCGATGACTTGATTGCGGCACCCTGCGACCGCGCACTGGCGTCGATCCCCGGGGGCGGGCGCGCCCTCGCCCCGCGTTCCGAAGCGCCGCCGCCAGAGGCCGCGAAGATGAGCGTATATTCTGACAATGACCAGCACAGGGTGACAACCAGTGGGGAGCGGAGCGCGGTCTCGAGTACGTCGGTTCGCATGTGGACCTACAGCTGCGCTTCAGCCGCCCCAGCTACATCGACTTCATACGGGGCGCGCTCAACGGCGGGCTGCTCGCCTGGCGCCCAGCGAGCCGCGTTCGAGGTAGGTGCCTGCCCGTAAGCCTTCGAAGAAGCGAAGCATGCAGATGCGGCTCCAGATCTTGTTGCTCGTGGCTTCCAGGAATTTCAGGCACTGCACGGGGGCCCCCCTGTCTGGCGAAGGGCGAGCACCTGCGCGCGCCGCGGCGGCGCCCGGCTCGACGGCCTTGGAAACTTTGTAACAGGCGAGCCACGTGGCGTCATTAGCGCAATCCTTTTCGAAAAAAGCGATTGGGCTGAATCTGTCCACGCCCTGGGTTTCCTCGATTGGCACCGCGGCGCGCGCCCGTGCCCGACGCGCGGGTGCAAGAGATAATCATTCTACGAGCTGCGAGGACTTAGCGCGCTCAATCTCTCGTGGACAGCCAAGACGAGGGCAAGTTATTTCAGCGCGCGTGCAGAGCGCGAAACTGCGGCGGGCCCAGTGCGCTGCGACTCGCGGGGGACATATTGGCAAGCTTCTCATGCGATCGTCGCGCAGATATGGTTATCCGGAGGTGCTCGCTGCAAGACGTGCCCGAGCCGCGTCTTTAACGGGGCGACCGCTTAAAACCTCGCGTGGATGTGCCCGACGCAGGCAATGTTTTCAACCGGAGCTGCCCCCGTAAGGCTATTTTTTGAGACATTCAAAATACAGCATGGCGCACCGCCGGAACTTTTTGCTTTCTCCGACATTCGGGAATCGGGGTGACACCCGGAGCATCTTTGGTCATCGATTGGGTCCATGCCGTGTCGCTTGGAGTTATGCTGCATATCCTGGGCGCGCTACTTTGGACTCTGATCGATGCCAATGCCTGGGCAGACCCAGTTGCCCACGAGAAGGTGCGAGTGGATCGTTCAGTTATGATGGTAGAAGCTGAGCTGTGCGATTTCTATTCGAAGGAATTTCTCGAGGGCGGGATTCGCACCCGAGCGCGAGCATTCGCGACATGGAAGATTGGTGCTCGGTCGGCTCTAATTCTGAAGTTGCGCTGGGCAGAGATTCATGGATATTCGTTTTCCGGCGGCGTTTTGTTGACGCGCTGCGGGGCGAGGCTGGCGGGGTCATTGCATGCTCGGGCATATGCGCGCGGTCGTTCCGCGCGGCGTCTGGCATTAATCCGGTTGCCCCCGAGCGCCCCCCCCCGTCGACGCAGCGAGATGTTCCGAGGGATGCGCGGGGAGCGTTGCTGTCATCAAGGGCCTCCGGCACTGATCCCTAGCCGACAGCGCGCGCAGCCGCGCGCGCGGCCATTTCACAGAAGGACCATGGGCCGCCGACACTTCGTGCCGCATGGCGCGATGGGGCGTTGAATCAGTTGTCGAAGCGCGCGCCAGCCGGCGCTCGCTGCGCCCATTTTACGAGGGCCATGCGCTCGATGAGCGCGCTGTTCGGCAGGCCGAGGAGGAGCTACGGACCAACAGCGAGCGGCAATGAGTGTGTCAAATTCGCGAGGGCGAAACGGAATGCGAGCACGACGAGGCGGACGGCGGGGCCGGAAGAGGATGGGGATGAGCTCGGGGGCGGGGGGGCACGGCTCTAGCTCTTGGAGCCGGCGTTCATCGTGAACATCGAAAAACGTCGAGCTGACCCGACGCACTCTCCTCCTCCACCCCCAATTCCTGAGCGGCCAGTAGCAGCGCGAGTTTCGCCTTCGCGGGCCGCCGCCCAACCGCCGCCGCCCGCCCTCCGCGCCTGAAGTAAAGAGAACACCCGAGGACTGCGAGGGGGGGCGCGCGCTGGGCTAAGGGCCACGGGCGCGCGCATTCCACCATTGAGGACAAACCCGCACGCGAGGGCCACGACGGGCCCTGCCCCCCCCGGCAGAACTCCGCCTGCGGATTTTCGCGCCGCGAAAAGACATTCCACCAACGCGCGGTTCCCCGCCGCCAGCATGGGCGAGCGCGGCGGGGGGGCGGGGGGGAGGGGCGCCGCGTCCGACGCCGCCCTCTGGGCGCCAGCGGGGCGGCCGAAAGCCCGTTTCTACGACCTGGGAAAATTTGGTAATCGAATCGCATCTTGTGAGCCGCCCCGAGGCGCCATGCCGTGGCCGGGGGCCGCAGACGCTCGAATGCTTCCGTCAGCGCAAGGCCGCGCGCGGGCATCCGCCGCCCCGGGGCGGGGTGCAGGCCGTGCAGCCGAAGGGCCGACAAACCGGATCGGGGGGAGGGCGTGGCCGATGTGGGGCGCCGCCTTTATGAGCTCGGTTGCCAGTGGTCCGCGGCCCCCCTCGCGGCTTTCGCGGCGGTCTGCATTTTCGTTCCGGGCCCATGATAATTGCGATAGCAGAGCACGTGCGCGAGAAATTCTGCGGAGTCCGATGCGCGAGCGAGGGCGCGAAATGCTCGAAAACGCGTCGAACGTGGCGAGTGAGAACACGAGATGCTTCAGCGCGCGCCCCGAGCGGAAAGGAAAGTCTCGCTGGGCGCGCCACGCGCGCGGCGCAGCCCAAGCGGAGCAAGGGGCGATGATTCTGCGGCGCAGGATTTCCGCCGCCGCCATCGCCGCCGCCGCCGCCGCCCGCTGCCGCCCGCCGGCATTCGCTGCTTGCTACAGCCAACCGCGACCACCGCCAACGCCACCGCCACTGCCGCCATCGCCGCCACCGCCCACCACCACCATCACCGCCACTGCCGCCCAACACCCAGCACCAAACACCAAGCGCACGCCACCGCCGCCGCCGCAGTCACCGCAATCACCGCTGCCGCTGCCACCACCGCTACCCCCGCCCCCCACCGCCGCCGCCGTCGCCACCACCGCCGCGCCACCACCAGCACCACCGCCACCGAGGCGCCCGCGCGGCGGGCACGAGGCGAAACCTCAGCAAACCCACCCAGCGCACTAGACTAGACGCCCACAAGGCGCCCACGGGGCGGGCACGAGGCGAGACCTGGGCACGCGCGCCGCGCGGGGCGCCCACGAGGCGCCCGCGGGGGGGGCGCGGCGCTGGGGCGACTGGCCCGCCTCGGGACCTCGGACGACCAATTGGGTCGCTCAGTTCATGTTCGAGAACGGTGGCAGCGCTCTCGGGCGTGGCGCGCAGTGGTGGTCGCTCAGTCGTTTCTTTTTTATGTTTCTGTTTTTTTGTTTTTGTTTTGTTGTTTTTTGTCTCTCTCTCTCTCTCTCGCTGTCTGTCTTTTTTTTGTTCTCTCTCTCTCTCTCTCTTTCTCTCTCTCTCTCTCTATATATATATATACACATATATATTATATATATATAGATATATCCATATCCATGTTCTCGACGACCTCGGTCGCGGCGTCGTCGCGCCTGGAGTTTGGCGAGATCTTTGAGACAGCAACGTGCTCTGACCAGCTGGAGATCAGCGGCCCTAGGGCGTTGGAGCTCGCCTCCCGCCAGCTGCAGCTCTGCGGGGAGGCATCGGGGCGGGGTCGCCGTCGGCGACGGGGCGGGCGACGACGGCCATCGCGATGAACGCTGCTACTTCACAGGCACGGCTACTACTCGGGGCCCCGCGGTCGTCAGGCAGTCAGCCCTGGGGCCCTCGGCGGCACGCATGGACGGCGCCGCCCCCAGCCTGCATGGAGCGCGCGATCCACTCAGCGAAGCCCTAGGCCTAGCTCGACCGGAATGCGTCGGTGAGCGCGTTGGCTTCTGCCTCCAAGGCGTCGGCCCAGGCCGCTCGGGCTGCGAGGGGCGCCAGAGGGGCCGTCGGACTCACGGCCTGCCAGCTGGGAGGCAGGCCGCGATGCGTTGCGTCGGGGAGCGCGCCGACGGCCCACCTGCGCAGCCACTGCGCCATAGCCTGGAGAGGCCTCGCCTCGCCGCGCGCCTTGGGCTGGAGCCGCCCGCCAGGATCGCGCGGGGGCTTCCTCCAGCTGCAGCGGGCCTCGCATCCTCGCCCCACCATCTTGTGGGCGACATCAGGGTCGATGTGGACGACCTGGAGCAGCTCCTCCTCCACGTGGCCCATGATCCCCAGGAAGGCCTTGTCCAACTCGTCCTGGGAGCCCGCCCTCTCGCATAGGGCCTGAACATCAGCATCCACCTGCAGGGCCTCCTGCACAGGCCCCACAGGCTTCTTCTTGGGAAAGGGCCTCGGGGCAGCTAGGCGCCTTTCCCACGGTTCCTCGCCTCCCTGCTTCACCGCGAGGGCGACAGCACGGTGCGGCCTGAAGGCAGGAACGTCAATGATCTTGCAGCTCCTGACCCTGTGGACCAGGTCAAGCGACGCGATGAAGAAGTCCAACTCCGACGGCGGCGCATCCTCGGCAAAGGAGCATGTGCCCTGGTCGTCGACGTTGCTGACTACCTGGCCGCGCACGCCCTCGAGCCAGTACCGCGCCTTGTCGGTGAAGATGTCGGGGCCCACGTTGAAGCCGCCCCCGACCACGAACGACCTCCCCGACGCCCTGAGGGCGCGGCCCAGGTCGCGCAGCACGCTCCACGACGACTCCCCCAGGTGATCGTTGTCCAAGTAGATGCTGGCCGCCAGGATGCCGCGTCTCTTGACGCCCTCGATGTGGAGGCAAGTGCAGCGGCCCTTGGAGACGCGCTGCGAGCTGCTGCCGGGCTCCGCGGCGGCTGTGGCCGTAGCCGGTAGAGGCTGGGCCGCGCCTCGACCCGACCTGACCACAATTCCAGTGCCCCCAGACGCGGCTCGCCGCTGCTGCACGTCCAGGCTGCCCTGCCTGCTGGTGCCAGGCGCGAGGTCCCCTCTGAGACCCTGGCGGCGTAGCCGCTGCTCCTCGCGAGCGGCACCTCCAGGGTTGAGGCGGGTCTCTTGCGCCAGCCAGCATTGCCCAGCATGGGCCCCCTTCACGACCTCCTGCGCCTCGCCATGCGGGCGCCCCCACATCGCCGCGAGCGGCCCCCAGCCCGAGCCGTTTGCGGTGACGAACGTGAAGGGCTGATCTGCTCGCCGTCCACCACGGCGGCGCCCCGTGCTAGGGAGACGCTGGGGCCTTGCTCCTCGCCTCGCGGTCGGCCTTGGCAGCGGCCCTGAGCTCGTCCAGGCGCTCTCGGGACAGGCTCGCCTTCAAACAGGTCGGGCGGGGGCTGTGCCGCTCGCAGCGCCGTCCGCAGAGGCGCCGCGCTGGGGGTCCGCGCCGCCATCGGCGCCCCCGCTGGCTCCCTTGCCCTTGCCTGCCGCGCCACTGGCGTCGCCAGCGCCTGCAGCGCCAGCCCCTTCAGCAGCAGGCTCGACAGCAGCATCAACATCAATAGTCTCCCCGCAGCGGCGCTTCTTCGTCTACAGGCGGAAATCCTCCTGCAGCTTAGCCGGGGCCTCGCGGCGGCGGCTGAGCTCCTCCGCCGCAGGCTTGAACATGGACTCCACCTGCTCGGAGAAGTCGGCCTTGAACTCTTCGAGCGCGTGCCCCCACTCGGCGCGCTCAACCCCGGACAAGACGACGCCCTCGAAGTCGAAGGCGCTCCCGAGCTCGAACGCGAGGCCATCGCGCCCCGCGAGGACCGAGGGGATGTTGACCGAGACGGAGGCGGAGGCGGAGCCCTGGTCGCGCCTGTCGAGGCAGCCCTTGGCGCGGGTGATCGCACGCGTCTGCTCGTCGAGGGCCGCCGCGTACTCCGCGGCGAGGGTGCCCTCATTCTCCTCGCGCTGCGCCAGCCAGGCGCGAGCCTGCTCAGTGGCGCCCGTGGCCTCGTTGAGCGCCTCGGTGGCCCGTCGGGCGGCGCCCCACGCGCGCTGGGCCGCCTCGTCGGGCAGCGCCTCCCTGGCGGCCGCGGGGGCGGGCTGCAGCGCTGCCTCGAGGCTCTCGAGGGCGGCGCCCGCAGACTTCGGGAGCTCCTCCCTCCGCCGCTGGACGGTCTCGAGCAGCGCCTCCTCCGCGCGGTCTGGCCCGGGCGGCCACCCTGGCGAGGGGGGGCTGCCGGGCTGCCGGTCCGCCCGAGCGGCGGCCCGGGGAGGAGGGGCAGGCGCTGCCCCCGCGGCTCCATCGGCGGGGCCCGCCCACGCTCCCTCGGACGCCCTCGCCGGAGAGGCAGGCGGAGCCAAGCGGCGGCCGCAGTTGTAGCAGCAGGTGCGGGAATTCCAGGTCCACTCGTATTCGCATTTCGAGCACTTCGAGTCTCTGTCCTGTCCACCACGCCGTCCATTGCCCCCCATGACAATGCGCAGTGGTTCGCACAGAAACCCTGCCAGCTCGCAGAATGTAGGTCGAAAGATTTTGGCTCTGCCAGCACTCCCCAAAGTGCTCACAGCGCCCCCGTGGGACTTGCACCCGCTGGGAATGCATGGCCTTGAGCCAAAATGGCTACGGACGATGCTGCTGCTGCTGCTGCTGCTGATGATGACGATGATGCTGATGATGATGATGATGATGATGATGATGATGATGATGATGATGATGACGATGGCATTTCTCTTCCCTCCTCCTCTCCCTTCTCGCACTCGCCTCATTCGTCCCCGCCCTCTTTCCTGCTCCTCCTTCTTTTGTTGTCCCCGCCCTCCTGACGGTGCAGGCGTCCCGCTGCGGAGTGGTGATCGTGCTCAGTTTTTTCCTCTTTCCTCCTCCCTCTCCTCCCTCGCCTTCCTCCTCCCTCGTCGTCGTCGTCCTCCTCCACCTCCTCCTCCTCCTCTTTTCCCTGGGGGGCGACGGTCTGGGGGCGTGTTTATCATTATGCCGATTATTATTATTATTCTTCTTATGCTTCTTCTTATTATGAGTAGTATTCTTATTATTATAAATATTATTATTAGTCGTAGTAGCAGTATTATTATTATCATTATTATTATCATTACTCTCATCAAGATTATTAGTATTATTATTGGTATTCTTATTATTATTATTATTATTTGTATTAGCATTATTATTAGCAGTAGCACCATTAATATTAATATTTAAAGGCTGCCGCCTCTGCCGCCGACCCCAAATGGGGTCTTGTGTTTTCTTTGTTGTCCGGGTCGTTGCGAGCGGTTCCCGCAACTGCGGGGGAGAGAGGAGGGTGGTATTCAGTTTGAGTAGATGACGATGCGGGCAGCACTGCAGCGTGAACGCGACACGGGACGAACGGGAGCTTGGGTTGACTGCGCTTGTGTGTGTGTGTGCGTGTTGTGTGTGCGTGTGTTAGATTCCGCCTCTCTCTCTCTCTCTCTCTCTCCCTTGAGCAGCAATTTCTCATCAACAAATGGTCTCGCCTGTTTTGGTTGACACTCGGCCTCGGATTGTATTCTTCGGGGCCGTTTTCTGGCCCCGGGGCCGTTTTCTGGCCCCGGGGCACGTTCCGTGTGATATGTATCGCATGATTGCATCTACGTAGCATTCTTGGCCTGCTATGGCAGGAGGAGACGGACGACGATGACGACGACGACGACGACGACGATGACGACGATGATGGCGTCGACGACGACGACGCCTGAGACATTCTCGGAATACTGGGCTCAGATCTGCCGTGGGCTGAGGTGGTCCAGCCAGTCTGGCCTGAGCCTGAAACGTCCTCGCAACTCTGGGCTCAGCTACGCCCTGACCTGAGGTGATCCAGCCAGTCTCGCCTGACACATCATCGCAACTCCGGGCTCAGAGATGCCGCTCACGAGGCGGCTCGTTTCGCCTGAGGCATCCTTCCAACTCTGGGCTCAGACATGTCCGGTCCTGAACAGCTCGGACAACGGCATGTTGGGGTCACAGATACGACCAGACTACGCCGAATCTGTGACCCCCGACGCCCCGGCGACGTCGGAGGTCCTAGGGAGGACGGCGAGGGAGCACGGGGAGGGGGGCGGAGGCCCGGAGGCGTAGGGCGTGGGGTCTGGGAGTGTTCTCTGGAGCCTCTTGGAGGCCGTCTTTGGGCCTCTTGGGGTTATCTTGGGGCGCTCTTGGGGCGCTCTTGGGCGCTCTTGGGCCCCTCCTGGGGCCCTTTTCGGCCCCCTTGTTTTTTTCTTTAGCGTCTATCGCTCGGTCGCGGGTGGCCTCTGGAGGCTTTTTGGGGCGGCTTGAGGGCATCTTGGGTTGTTTGGATGCCATCTTGGGCGTTTTGGAACCGTCTTTCGGCGAGGCGGGGTCCTCTTGGACTGTCTTGGGGGCTTCTTGAGAGGCCTCAGGGGGTGTCGTGGAGCTCTGGAGCGAGCCCAGGGAGGGCCAATCTCCCCCTGGTGAGTTTAGCGGGGGACGGGGGGGCCTTCAGCGGACGGGTCGGTGTGAAGCGTTGGTCCAGGGGGGAAGCCCTGGGGTCCAGTCCGTGGCCTGTTTCCCTCGGGATCCAAAAACCGGTGCGTTCGGGGATAACCGTTGGGATCTTGGGGGGGGGGCTTCTCGCCGGCCTCTTGGAGGCTGTTTCGAAGGCTCTCGGGGGCCGATTGAGGGCCTCTTTTGGGCCTCTTTTTGTTCTCTTGGGGCCCTCTTGGGGAGGTCTTGGGGCCTCTGTGGGGCGTCCTGGGGCCCTCTTGGGGCGGAAGGCTGGATTTTTCCGTTCGTGGTCTTTCTCAGGAGCCCCTCTTGGGCCCGCCTCGGTAGCCTCTTGGGCTGCTTGAGCGGCTCTTGGGCCGTCTGGGGGCCCTCCTGCGCTGTCTGGGGGCCCTCTTGGGCCGTCTTGGAGGCGTCGTGGGGGGTCTCTTGGGCCGTCTTGGAGCGGTATTGGGAGTCTCTTGGGCGGTCGTGGAGCGTCGGCAAGCCGAAAAGGTGAAAATGCCAAAAACATTGAAAAAACAATGAAAATCAACGATTTTGGCTTCTTGGGGCCCTCTTTGGAGGCTTCTTGGAGGTCTCTTGGGGCGTCTTGGAGGTCTCTTGGGGCGTCTTGGAGGCCTCTCGGAGCCTCTTCGAGGCCTCTTGGGGCGTCTAGGCGGCCTCTTGGGGCATCTTGGAGGCCTCTTGGACCGTCTGGGAAGCTTCAAGGTGCCCTCTTGGGTCGTTTTGGAGCCCTCTGCCCTCCCGTGGCGCGTTCGTACCGGGCCCGGGGAAGGGGGGTCAAATCTCCGGTTCGGGGTCCCTGGGGGGGGATTATGGGGGGGGAACAATCTCACACGCCTAGAGACCCACAAGGGGTCGGCGGATTTCGATGGTCGGCAACTCTTTTTTCCCAAGCGGGATTCAGAGTACATGCTGAAGAACGCGCCGAAAGCGTCGATGCAATGTAGGGAATGCGTAAACGCTGCAGCAGCAGAGCGGGATCAGGCGGCGAGGAAGGACATTAAAACTTGCGTGGTGTGCGAGAAAGCGCAACGGCAAGATTGTTTTTCGGATTGGATGTGGAACGGCGTTGCAGATCTGCACCGCAAGTGCAAGCGCTGCGTCGCTGCGCCGAAGAAGGACATGAAAACGTGCGCGGTGTGCGAGAAGGCGCACCGGCAAGATTGGTTTTCTGATTGGATGTGGAACGGCGTGGCAGATCTGCATCGTAAGTGCAAGCAGTGCGTCGCTGCAGGGAGGAAGGAAGTGAGAACGTGTGTAGCGTGCGAGAAGGCGCAACAGAAAGATTGTTTCTCTGAAAAGATGTGGGACGGCAGGGCAGAACAACACCGCAAGCTGCAAGACGATAAGCATCGACGACGCGAAGCATGTTGCCGGGAGAGTAGGAGAGGCATGCTGGCAAGGATGGGGATGTCGCGAGAAATCGTAGGGTCGGGGGTCCCAAGAACGGAGCCCAGAGGCTTGGGGATGTCGTGGGGGGGGGGTGGTGGCCAAGTGGGGGCCAGGTGGGCGGTATGGGTTGTTTTTGGGCGAGAAATCGTAAAGTCGGGGGTCCCAAGAACACAGCCCAGAGGCCTGGGGATGTCGTGGGGAGGGGGGGGGGGGGGGGTGGTGGCCAGGTGGGGGCCAGGTGGGCGGTATGGGTTGTTTTGGGGCGACAAATCGTAGGTCCGGGGTCCGAGAACAG